AAAAAGTAAATCATAACAATATTTATGATAATTTTCCAGGCAAATTTGCCTGGAAGAGCCTACAGTTTAAGGGATAATTAGAAATTATACCCATATAAAGTTATTCGGGTAACCTGTATAACACCTATTAACTGAGTTATGACCCTTGCTACCTGGGTGACCTATATTAGTTATCCGTAAACTTATGGATACAGCTTGAGTAATTAATTTATAAGAAAAACTCTAGTTATCCGGCATACAATTCTTGATCATGTTTTGCAAATTGTTGAACCTGAATTTATTATCTTTAACAAATTAGCAAATCTCATTATATTGATATTAAATTGTCAAAAACCACTAAGAAGATAACCATGATACCCTATAACAAAAATCTAATCTGCATTTTTTTTTCTACATTTTATCCATAAATGTTGCATCTTTATAGAATGTATATCTTTAAATGACAGAAATTATTGACCGAGATAAAATCGCCACCCAAAAAAGTTTTAAACATCACATAGAAAATATATCAAACACCAAAAATCATGTAACTTGAACCAAAAATACAAAAGAATAAAAATTTATAGACTAACAAAATAAAAATGATAAGCAATTTTGGTTATTTCGAATAAACTCAATAAACATAATATTTATTACAGCCAGAAAGTATTATGATTATGGTTTTTATAAATATTTAGAATATTCCATTGCCTTTTAAAATAATTATAATTCTCTTCCAATTTATGCAATTGCTTTAAGTTTTTATTAATACTATCGAGCTATTTGTTATTATTTAGATTCATTATATTTTTTCTAATAATTTTTTTTGTTACGTCCTGGATTCAAAATTATAATTACTTTTTGCTCAAATAAATAATCAGAGTTATAGTCTTCCAGAAGAGTATTAAAAATAAAATCTACAAGGTTTTCTGGTGCAATTGCATTTTCTTGATTAGCTTTTACAATTTTATTTTAACTTTCATTTATTTTTTTTCATTTATTATTAGTAAAAATTTGGTTATAGCAATCGATTTATATTTTTAAAATATTTAATTTTATGCTCTTAAAAGAATAACTTGGTTTGTCAAAATGAAACGATTACTTTTCATTTTGAAGAATTGAAGAAAAATGCTACAAGCAAATGTTTCTTCCAAATTTGATTCACTTTATAGTTTTGGGTATTGTGAATCTGGTGGTAGGCGATTAGTTAAAATAAAATCCAAAGTTAATCCTTACAAGATCATTCTTACATATTTACATATACGAATTCTCTTACCACATCTGTTCTCATTAACAACTACAATTAACTATTCTTCTATCTGTCTATATCCAGTTACTTAACCAAAGTGAATCACTAAAAGAATCGAATGGTATAATTATTTCTAAGCCTTGTCCAAAGAATTAAATAGCATGATTATTTTAAGCCTTGTCTAAAGAATCGAATAGCATAATTATTTTCAAGCTTACCTAAAGAATTAAATGCCATGATTATTTCTAAGCCTTGCCTTAATGTATCGATCATGCAACCAGTTTGTATAATTATGCAGAATCGAATAGTATAATAATTAAATTAATCATTTCATGAACTAAATAGGTGAAGTGTACATTTAAAGCTAACTAATTTAATGTATAAAGCATAATTCTGCAGGTTGAATAGCATCTAAATAAGTTAAATATATATTTAAAGCCAACTGGTTCGCATAATTATGCAAATCGAATGGCATGATAATTAAACAATTTTACTAACTATTAAATAAGTTGAACATGCATTCAAAGCCAACCGATTCGATGCAAAAAAAAATAATTTTACAAGTCAAATAGTATAACTATTTATAAGTCTGCTTAAGTAAGTCTAATATGTGCTCAAAGCCAACTGAATCAATGTGAGAAGCATTGTCATATAATTAAACTATATTGTTATTGAGAAGGCATACTTGTAATAAGAATTAGATCATAAAAAAAAAAATAAAATTTAGATATTTTAAAAAATGTATTTAAGGGTAGGGTGAAATGATCTATATTTCGATAGTGATCACGTTACTAAAATTTTTTACAATAACATTTAATTAAAATCAGGTGATGATCATATATTATTTATGTTGTGTAACTTAGACAAATTTCGATTAAGTTAGGAAGAATTAATGATATATGTAAGTATATTTTTTTCGAATATAACAAAGGTTCAAATTCTATTATTATAATTAGATGAGTCTAATGTATATATTGTAAAAATTTTACAAAAAAAAATCAGATTTTTAAAAACTTTTATATGTAACGTATGTTCAATTTTTGGATAAAATTTTTTTAGTCGATATTCTTATATAGAAAATGATCTACATTCACCCTACCTTTAAACTATACTTTTTGACTGAATAAAGCTTCAGAATTCAATTCTAAAATCTAAATTATTTAAATAAATTTTTACTTGATATATTTGACTTTAACTCTTACTGCTATCACATATTTATTAGTTAAATTATCCTCGCTCTTGATCATATATTATAACTACATAATAATTAACAAATCCAACTTACACTACTTTGCATAAATAAATCATCTCTTATATAGTACTATAACAATTAAATAAAAAATTGGAATCTCAGTCTAGTTTAAGTTTTCAAACAACTTATTTTTTGATGAAAGCAATAGTGATAGTAATAATAATAATAATATAACTCTCTCTATAAACACATTGGTTAGTAATAAAAAAAAAAGAGTAAAAAAAATAAATCAAGTTTTTTGTGAAAGTATTTTAAAAAAATCGGAACAGAAGATATGTGTTAAGTTATAATTAAAAAAAATGGTATAAACAAAAAGTGTGAAAGGAAGTATATTCATGATAATTCAACATCAAATATGATTGCTCACCTACATCTCATAATATTGTGGATAGCAAAAAGTTAAAACCCGAAGAACTACAAAAACAACAAGCTACATTACCAGCAATGCTCAAATCTAATACTAATACTCCACATAAAGGTGAAAGACAAAAAGAAATAGTCAAAGGAGTTATTAAATGGATTTTTCTGGATAATGAACCTTTATCAGTACCAAGAAAAAAAGAGTTTCATCATATGATGGCAATAATTGATCCAAAGTTTCATCTGCCTTCTAATAAGCTAATAAAAAATCAAATATTATTAAATTACCTTAAAAATATAGATGCTCTTAAACAAAAAATTACATCATCTTGTAAGACTGCTATATTAACAGCAGATTTATAGACCTCACGGAATAACCAAGGTTATATTAAGGTCACTTATCACTGGATAACTCATAATTGGTCTATCCAAAGGTGTTATAATGTTGTGAAAAAATATTATACACACATACCGCTGAGTTCATTTATTAATTTTTTATTAACAAATGCACTGAATTTAATCTTGAAAATAAGATTGTATGTGCTGTTACTGATAATAGCTCCAACATAGTAAAAGCTATTAGGTTGTAAAATACCATTGTCTATCTTCTGTATGCTATACACACTTTACAATTAACAGTTAATTTTGCTCTGCAAAAAATTTGCTTGCAAACAAAAAAATAAAAAAATTAGTTTATTTTTTTGATTTACCAAAGCAACAAAAAAGGTTAAAAAAAGCCCAAATAAGAGGAATGAAAAGAGATATATTATTATCTTTTAGCCCAGTTCATGCTGAAGCCTATACTGAAGTTTACTTTAACAATAAAAAGGTTGGTGAAATTGATGATGAAAGTAATACAGAATCAGAAAAACAATTAAATATAAATATTATTCCTAAGCCCCTTCGTCTAATTAAAGACTGTTCTACACAGTAGAATTCTAAATATCAGTCTTGGAAAAGATTGTTGAAATTAAAAGATGCAATTATATGGCTAGAGGTAAATTTGAATATTTTACAGAATTCAGATGACAGAAAAGGCGAGCAAAAACTTAAACAATACTTGCTTGATGAAAATGAATAGAAATTAATCGAAGAATTAGTTAAAACTTTTGAATAATTAAATCATACAACGGAAGCATTTAGTGCTAAAAAGTACTCTATATTATCAGTCGTATATCCCATCATTGAACTCTTAAATTCGAATTCGCAGTAGATTCAAATTTACTCTTAGTTAATGATGATTATGATCTAAATGATGAATATGGTATGTACTTTTTTTTTTTGTAAAAATAATAATAATAAATAAATAATAAGTAAAAAATAAATAAATACAAAAAAAAAAATAATGAAAAAAATAAAAAATAAATAAAATTATATAATTTTTTGTATTAATTCATAAAATATTAATATTAGTTCTTATCTTCAGAATCAAATATAGACAGTGATAACGAAGACGAAGAGAATTATACTCAAGATACTCTTAATATTCAATTAACAATTGCTTAAGTTAAGCAGGCAATTTACAATTCACTTTGGAAATATTGGAGAAATCCAATGTTTACTGGCCTTATAGCAACTTTACTAGATCCAAAACTCAAGAAAATACACACTTGGTCTGAAAAACTACGGAAAGAAACAATTAGAATATGCCATAAAAAATATAACAATATCATTAATGAAACACCTACACAATCAACACATTCCAACGTAACTTCAACTAATCATTACTTCACTTCAATATTTGACGATGAGGATAATAATGATGATAATTCATTTGCTAATGAATTAAATAAATATTTAGATATGTCTATTGTCTTAAAAACTAAATCACTCTTAGACTAGTGAAAAGAATCAGAAAAAGACTTTCTAAATTTGAGCAAATTGGCAAAAAAATATTTATCTATACCAGCTACTTCAGTGCTAAGTAAACAACTATTTTCTGATGTGGAGAACCAAGTAACTCCTAAACAGACTCGTCTTAATCTAAAAACCATTTTACAAATATTGTTTTTTTTTTTTTTTTTTTTTTTCCCCATCGCAATGTCGCGAAAAGGTGAATTTTTATTAGATATTTAGTATTACATTCTTGGTTAACGAGAGTACATTTAGCTACATATGCAACTTTTAGTTGTCTATTTAAGTAAACACCTGAAGGTTCTATACTAAATGCTATACTTGCAACCTAACTATGAGATTACTCATTTAAACCCTTTGATGTCACCCGTTCTGTAACACCACTCTAATTACACCAACCCATAACCTCATGCTGCTCCAATAAAGACTATCCAGATCGACATCTGCTAACTACTTGTGTTCTAATTTTATAGATAACCCAATAGGACCTATATATCGGGTTGTCCTAGAGAAGGTGTAGTACAAACCTCCCTAATCTTTCTATATCCTACACATTTCCAGACTAGGCTATTCGGTAACTTATGCTGAGTCCAAAGACAAGTATTTGCGAGCTGAAGCCACTACCGTTACCTATTACTGCTCTTGCAAAGTTCACCCAAATCCCAATACACACTTTACATACTAACACTGACTTCTCTTCACCAACAGTACCCCAAACTTCCAATCCAGATAGCCTAGAAAGGAACCAGTGAGTGTCCCTTTGATATTTCAATTGAATTCTTTTCTTCGTCCATATGGAGCTCTTATTTATTTATATGTGGTCTGGTTGGTATTAGTGTCTTGCCGAATACTCGGTTCTTATCCAGTTTACTGCTAGTGTCTGGTTACCAATGATCATCCTTTATATCCCTTAAATTGTAATACAGGCAAATTTGCCTGCGTTTATTTTTTTAAACTTTATTTTTTTAATAAAATCTT